ATAGAGAAAGCGAGAACAAGAAAAATAGATAAGGGGACAAGAAGCTAAAGAGAGAAATAGAGTAGCAAAGACAGCAAAAGAAAAGGTGAAGCAGAGAAAGCGAGAACGAGAGAAACAGAGAAAGTGCGAACGAGAGAAACATCGTAGGGGACAAGGAGCCAAAGAGAGAAAGAGCCGTAATTCGACAGGAATAACGAGGAGGATTCGATACAGATGTTCGCGAGACGAGGTTTATTGGAATCCGCTGGATTCAAACAAGCCTCCCACGATATCACCCTTTCAGTCTCCGCTCTTCTTTTGTTCCTGCAGCCGCGTCGAATCGATTGTCTTTTCACCTTGGAAGTGTGTATACCCGTGTGGGACACAACGAGACGTTCAACGGGGTTGTTATTGAATCGTTTTGAGGCCCGGCCGCTGTAATAACTGATTCCATGAATCGGTGACCCGTTGCTGCTCAGATTCGACGAGGCTGGATGAGAGAGAGAAAGAGAGAAAGAGAGAGAGAGAGAGAGATCGACCTCTCCGGATGATGCTCGCGAAAACTTGAGCCCGGGAATAGAGATCTCGATGGGAATTATTTCCACGATTTTCAGAGTCTCGTTCTTGGGACATTCGTGGCGTACAAATTGACGTTTCGAGCGTTATCGAATTTCTTCTTATATTTATTACAAACTGAGTCGTGATAAGGTAACGGATCATTTTGCGTCGTCTTTGCGTCTTTTTGTCCCTCTCTCTGCGGAAATTCGCGTCGCATAGTCGTAGGAAACCAACACAAATAAATTCACAGTTCCAGGAAACTTCCACTTAGCTCGTGGGAAATTTGTCATTCGTTTACGGAGAAAGAGAACGCGATTTGTCCGACAAAATAAATCTGCTCGAAGAAAGACAAGAGTCCACGATCCGTGAACGGATTCGTGAACTCTCCACGCTGCGCCTCAATGGAGCTATCACCGGCGCAAAATGTCCGATATCGATCGAGAGGATAATTCGAGTAGCTGCCGAAAGGCGAGATAATTCGATCAGCCGTTGATCCTCGCAAGAAGAGCCGTGTATCGCCGGGGACCAGAGTGCCGTCGCGCCGTGCTCGGCAATCCCGAGCACACAGCGCGCTCTAAAAGTGCATAATTACCGTGTCTGGGGTGCTTGAATCAGCGGCAGTCGCGTGCGAATCCCGAGTGCGAGCGGCTGGGATGCGAAAGGGGTTGAATGCACGACCGGAAACCGGGACACCGGGCCCGGTTGCTTTCCGCCGCGTGCATGTCGCTCTGCAGACCGTTTCTGTCCGACCCCTTGCCCCCTTTTCTGCAACCCCCATCCACCGCCCTTTTTATCCAACTTCATCGCGGCATCGCGTTCATTCCCGCGGGGACAAAGAGAATTCTTCGCAGCCGGTGCGGCGCGGCGACGCGCGAGCCTCGGGAACAAACGTTTTCTGGACGCCGGATTTTTCATCTTTGCGCGTCTTTTAACCCGTTGGATCGAGTTTTAATTGCGTTCCCCGTACTTTCGCCCGTCCTCCTTTTCCCCGGGCTCGACGTTCCATGTAATTTCGAGCGTTGCCACCGAGCCGCGGCGTAAGCACCTTTGCGGAAACTGCTTCCCGCTGTATGGCTACAGAAGTTTGCCAGATAAAACTGGACCCACTTTGGCCAGCGAGTCGTGCACGTGCACGTGTACTTACGTACAGGGCGAGCCGAACAACTCGGTCGCTTCTTTTTCTTTTATTTAGAGTCTCACGTCGCGCCAACCTGCTCGGTTATTAGCAACGTCGCGGCGTTCGCGCGAAACGTTATTTGATTTCTCAGTTCTCGTTGCCTTAACCAGTTAGCTGTGGCGACTTCTTTTCAAACTGCCAGAACATGTGTGTCGCGAGAGTCGAGCGACGACGAGTATACTCGTCGTCGCTCGACTCCTGTCTCTTATACACATCTAGATGTGTATAAGAGACAGGAGTCGAGCGACGACGAGTATACTCGTCGTCGCTCGACTCCTGTCTCTTATACACATCTAGATGTGTATAAGAGACAGGAGTCGAGCGACGACGAGTATACTCGTCGTCGCTCGACTCCTGTCTCTTATACACATCTAGATGTGTATAAGAGACAGGAGTCGAGCGACGACGAGTATACTCGTCGTCGCTCGACTCCTGTCTCTTATACACATCTAGATGTGTATAAGAGACAGGAGTCGAGCGACGACGAGTATACTCGTCGTCGCTCGACTCCTGTCTCTTATACACATCTAGATGTGTATAAGAGACAGGAGTCGAGCGACGACGAGTATACTCGTCGTCGCTCGACTCCTGTCTCTTATACACATCTAGATGTGTATAAGAGACAGGAGTCGAGCGACGACGAGTATACTCGTCGTCGCTCGACTCCTGTCTCTTATACACATCTAGATGTGTATAAGAGACAGGAGTCGAGCGACGACGAGTATACTCGTCGTCGCTCGACTCCTGTCTCTTATACACATCTAGATGTGTATAAGAGACAGGAGTCGAGCGACGACGAGTATACTCGTCGAACACGGAGCGAGCGTCGCTGTTAGAACGTTCTAAAAAAGGCGATTTTATTTTAGAAAATTAACGATTTTATTACTAGTATTTGCTTATTCGCTTAACATTAACATATACTGCACACGTAATAAACGAAAATCGAGGGAAGAATCGAGTAAAAATTGAAATTGCTGCTGTAGAGTCGCGTTCGGCAAAACAAGGAACGTAACGGCGCTTTGCTTTTCGTTCCAGTTTCGAAAAAGCGTGAAAGCGAACGGAGAATTAAAAGCAGCGTAAAAATCTATTCTTAATTACGCGTACAGATATATCTGTTCGTCGAATCGATCGAAGTCGAGCCGAAAGTTTATCGGCCTTGTTTAAGCGCGCGCATTAACGTCGATCTCTCGAAGCGGAAACGTCGACCAAAACGAGAACCGCACGGCGTTGAACGAATCGCGTTTCTCGGCCGGTCATTACAATGATCGTCGGCGCGACGAAAATATTTTTGACACCGCCGGCGGAACGGTCGAGGTATATTTTCGTTATTATTCAAACCGTTTACACGATTTCCGATAACCAGCGGCGTGTACGCTTCGGAAAAGCGGATTTCGCGCTAACAGCATAAAACAAAGTAGCTTTCGCGCGTTAACTGTTTTCCATGCATGACAAACCCCTCGGATATTGGACACGTCGGCGCAGAAGACACAAAGGTGACAAATAATCTGCTCGCACGAAAACGAAATTTCAACCGTCTGCCACGCGCAATTAGACTCGAAACTTTTATTCATTTATAATCGTAAATAGAAAATAATTATCTAGAATTCGGTGTCTCTCAGCGTTTATATAAAAGCCGACGCATTTTATATTTTATTGTCATGTATTCATATTTATATATGTTATATTGTATTTATCATTATATTTATTTTATAAATATAATATTATATACAATATATAATAAATATAATATTATATTTATAAAATAAATGTAATGATAAATTTATATTTATTTTATTTTATCATTATACTTATTTATTTTATATATTCGTATTAACACAAAATATCTGTGAACCAGATAATATTATATAATTACATATTCAAAGTAAAAATCAAATATGTTCGACGGTTTAATCACATCCGATTATTTCAACCGTTTCAAAAAGGGGTCAGAATCGAGCGGTGTTCCGTAATAGGCACTTTTCACCCCCACGTTCGATCGGATAATATTTTTCACCGCTGCTTTCTATATTATAGAACACCACGCCGGTGTTCGACTATGCGGATTCAGGTTTCTCCGCGGCGTATTATAATTGGATCGATTCGGAAACGAACCGCCCGCCCCTGGGAAAACACCGGGCGCAAGTTTCTTCAAAATGCAGAGCGGTGTAATCGACGTTCCCGGCGCTGCGCGCCGCTCTCATACAACCGTTTTCACGGTTCGGTCCCATTATTGTTTCACGGATGGAGTACGGACAAAGCTTATCACCGTTTTCACGGTTCTGTTCCGTCATTGTCCCGCGCACAGCAGTCGGACAAAGAGTTTTCAAGTCGTATAAAGGGTGTCCTACGCACCGGTAACATAATGGAACGTCTTTCCTCGCTCTTCGCCCGACGGTGACGTCCGTCCGTCCCTCTGTCCCCCCTCGCCGTTTCTCATCCACTTAGAACTCTTTGACTTTCGCGGCGAAATATAACGTGGAAACAGGGGCGAGCTTTTTCCGGGCCTCCGGCGACGGTAACAGACACGCCAGAGAAATTTGAATCGTCGCGACCATAAGAGACACGTCCCGCGTCCCCTAATTCCTCGCGCCCGCAATTACCGGATTCTCAAATGTTCGTTCGCCGCTCGTTAGAAGCAGGAGATTTAACCCTGACAAAGCCCGACAGCTTCTCGATCTCGGCAATTAAAGCAGTTTCCAAATCTGTAACAATAGCAAGAAATTCGGTTAAGTTCGATCGGTATTAAATGTGAAAATATATTATGCGTGATAGATGTTTTGTGTCCTGATCAATAATAACAGCTTGATTTCAAAAATAATATTTCAAATAGCTGTATTTCTCGTTCGAAACGGTTCGAGAAGCTCTCGAATCGCAAGACGACCACGAAGCTCCGAAATATCAATTGAATCGATAAACAATAACTTCTGTCTGTGGAAAAAGAATGCGCGATCGTCTCTGGCCAAAAAAGAAAGCTCCAGAAGCATTATTTGCTCGTGATACACGTTCTCGTCTCACGCACAAAATCTCCCGAGCAGCGTCGGCACAAAGGAGAAGCGCTCGTCAATTTCGCCTTGATGTAAAAATTATAGGGCACGTATTCCGGAATAAAAAAAATATCGCGTGTCGGAGGTGGATAAAGCGTGACATAGTTTCGCGGCGCGGATAAAGCACGGATTGAAGCAACGTCGGTACGAAAACGGGGAAGAGGCGCGCGGGCTATTTAATTGCTGGTAAAGATCTTTTGTTTTGCGGGGGTTAACGGTTCCATTGAATTTTTCATGTGCAGGACGTAAGAGGACGGCGGGAAAGTAGCCCTTCGACTGTATCGCGGAGCCCGAGCATCGTGAAAGCCGGAAAGCAGCGGATCGGAAACAGAAGGTGAGTCCATTTTGAAATATTTAGCATCGCCGACGGACATGCGCGCGATGAAACGCGATTCTATCCGTTAATGAAAGCTAAATGCAGTAAATTCTCTGTAATTGACGCTCGGATTCTGCACGAAAGTGGATAATTTCGGAAGAGCAGATACGATCGACGACAATCGGCGACCATAAAAACGAGCTGCGAGGCTCGAATAATCGCGACTCTTCTTCCCAAATTGTCCACTTTCGTTCGAAGAAATACAGTAATGTCTCTCTAATTGACAGTAATGTCTCTCTAGCCTTCTGGCTCGTTTTTTATGGTTATCGATTCTCAACGACTATAAAAACGAGCTGCAAGGCTCGAATAATCGTATCCGTTCTTCCCAAATTGTCCATTTTCGTGCACAATCTGAGCGTCAATTAGGGAGACATTACTGTGTCGCCTGATTTCTCTTGTTGAAATATATTTTATCGAATATACGCTTCGCCGAATTCTGCACGCGGTTTATCGTTCACCGGAAACGATTGCAAATCGTAAGCGATCGCTCCGACGACTTCCCGACGACATTTTCTTCCGATGTAACTCGCGGAATGCCTGTGAAAATTTGCGAGAGCGCGCTATTCGTCGAAAACAATGGGTTAAATTGAAATTTATTTACGTCGCAGGCGGCGGTGCCGGGAGGACGGTAAAGGACCGCGTTGAAGTTCGTTAGAATCTTCGTTTTATTCAATTTTCTACACCTGCGAGCGTATGCCGTAAATGCATAAAATTCGCGGTCTAGTTATTATGGAAGCGGACGGGACTGTTGACGTTTACAACAGCATGTTCGCTAGCATCTCGCGGTGCACCCGTTTGTTACAGAATTCTGCATTGTCGGCGAACGAAATATACATTTTTCATATTCAATTTCGTAGGGAAGATCAACGTTGACCAAACCTCGAGCAAAGCTTCGATTATCGATATCATTTTGCAAATTGAAAATGTTGCGCCGGAACAGCTTTTATTGTATCGATACATGGAAATCATTTTATTCGGCGAGTTCGTTCGATTTAAAGTATCGACGCTCGTTTAAACACGCATTTAATAACTGTATTTTATAACTGTAAACGACCGGAAACGTCGAATGTTTGTTCTCGAACGTGAAACGTTATTAATCGTCGCAGTTGTGAAACGATTCTATAATTCCCGGTGGAAAAAAATACTAGAATTTCTATTATCTTTTTACTATATAATATATAATATATATATATATATATAATATAATAATAATATATGTATATATAATATATAATAATAACTGCTTACGTGAATTTGAATCTTATATTTCGCTCGAGTATCAAATGATTTCTTAATCAAGTTAAAACGTTGTCCAGTTGAAGCAGTTAAAGGACGCCTCGTTGCGAATAAAGAAAGATGTTTATATTATTACTAATGTATTTGTCTCGTGCAAACGCAAATCCATTTGAAATATTAATAATTAATGAAATTCTTAATTCACTTTGGTCGGTTAAGAGTCCTTAAATACTCTTCGATCAATTTCAAATATTACGCGAGCGCCGCAATCATACGAAGCTTAATTCGAATGAAAAGTAAACGCTGTCGTTTTAATAAAATTTTTCTATATAAAGGATGAAATGAAAATTTCAATAATACCTACTGGGTATTAAATATTTCCTTTGCAAGCATAATATAGAGATCGTTTGCTTGCATGCGATTGTTCTTACGATAGATTAATGATATAGATTAATAATTAGTTTTTTCTGCACTTCTCTGATAAGAGTGTGTAAAGTATTCCACAGAGTTTCGCAGAAATATATATATATTACAAAAATATATGATATAATATAATAAAATATAAATTATAATATAAAAATATTTATTAATATTTATATTATAATATAAAGTATATATTAAAATAAACATAAAATATAAAATATCATATTCGAAATATCATTTTTTAAAATATAAATAATCATTTTGCACGAAGGTCCGCCGTCTGGTAATAATCGAAAATAACGAACAGCAAGCTTTCTTCGTCGCCTCACGCTCATATTATACTTCCAACATGAATAATACATTAAATACTTGTCGCCTAAATAGAAGAATCCGCTATCGCAGCACAAATAAATGAGTCCGCGCCGGTGATTGCGGCGTCGCATTCTAACGTGCTACAAAAGTTCTCCTAGTTTCTTTTGTGCACCAGCCGGTGGTGGAAGGTGGACTTGTGGACTCGGACTACAAATAGAAAGCTGTTACCGACTGGAAGAGCGGAAAAAGGGAACGTCTGTCGCTCGGAAGCATTAAACAAAAGTTCAAGAAAGTAGAGTCAACGGAGCAACTGTATAAATGGAAACAGCCCGTCTTCTCCCGAGGAAGAGGGTAACTCAAACGGAAAAGTCACTGAAAACGCTCCACTGTGCGCCGAGCAATCTTTCTGTTCTTGCATTAAACGATCGATATTCATCGTAAAATCTCTATCGTTATCCTTGCATCCTTGTTGCTCGGCGAATGAGACATTTGTCGTCGCGATTGTTCTCTTAGAGAGAATTAATTCTAAATATATATTATTCTAGAATTAATTCTAAATTATTCTAGAATTATTCTTAGAATTCATTCTAAATTATTCCAGAATTATTCTAATTAATTCTGAAGAAAGCAAAACGGAACAGGTACAACATTCTTCAATTTCTCTTCTCCTTCTCCCGAAACTATTAAACGTGTCTGGCATTACACATAATTTTTCCGCGATAAAAAATCCAACCAACGTCGAAGCGTATTTTCTTCAAAGAAACAACAGCTGGTTCGAAAAATCGATTAAGCCTATTCCGACGGAAAATACGTCGATCAAGACTGCTCGATCGAGAGATCCGACGTCCATTAAAATTCGTTTACGATTCGCATCCGTTGCTAATCGCGCGATCGCGACTTATCGAGCACGCGAAGAACGCGGCGATGCGCCAAGCATGCTTCGGCGAGATCTCCAGACAGTCACGTTTCGGTCGTAACAAAGACAACTTTCGCGGAGACGAAGCCCGGGTACTTTCCTCTTACTTACTTATCCCTCGGAACGGAAACGTGACGGTCTTCGCGGCGTTCCCCGCGAATTTCCCGCCTGCGAAACCCTCCAGTTTCTTAAACTTGCCGGAGCGACGAGGAGTTAGGTTACGCGAAGCTCCGCAGCTGATGACGCTTCGTCGGCTGCGGCGACGGGGCTCGTCGCTCGCAAATTACATCGTTCGACGCGTATTTCGTTTTTTGAAAATTGAAAATTGAGGCGTTCCTGATCGATCGAGCGATCGCGAGGCTACGCGTTTCTGAAATCCCTACGCGCGTTTTTCAGAATTGCAATCGCGAGTGAAAAGATCTCTTCCGAATGAGAAAATGAATTAGCTGTGCAGCAGCAGTTGTCTGATCGCATTTTTTGGGCCTCACGATTCGACGGCGAACCCGTCGAGAGGGCTGGAAAGCGATCGAAACGGCGGAGTGATGATCGACCGCGAAGGATCCGCGGACTCGGCATGCAAAGCAGGTGTATCCATGGTACCTAGACCCGCTTAGGGAGCCATTAGGGGTATGCGGGCGATCGCGGAACGGCCCCTAAATCTTCGCGGTATCGTCTCGGCGGCCGCTAGCCATCGTGAACAATTCGCCGGCGCAAATGCTAATTCGACAAGGTAACCCGGGGAAGAAAGGGTGGCTGGCACGGAACCGGCGGGTCGAAGCCAAGGAACCGGGGCCTTCATTGATTTCGCCCGTTTGTTCGCGGAGGACGGACGTAAATTATATTCGTGGCCGAGTGCGGACTGTATTTGCATGTTAAAGGAATACCGGTTACGGTTCCACGGAAGATTAATACTACTTGCGGTCTCGGCCAGCGGCGGACCGTCGCTGAATGGGGTACGGGAATGATCGAGTTCGGGGGATGGTGCCGTTTCCCGCGATAAATAACTCCCGCCCCTAAGGATATCCGTGAATTTTAAAGGGACGCCTCTGTCCCGTGTTATGGTATCCACGTGACAATCGTTAGGAACGTCGGGTTTCTTAACGGTGCTTTGTCTTGGATACTCGAGAATCTCGCGGAAGGTATAAGGATACTGAAACTAAAAAGTTCAGAGTGATCGGAGCAATTGCTTCTTCGATCTTCTTCGATCTTCTTCGATCTTCTCGCTTGCTGCGGATCCTGATAGAACATATAGTAATGTCTCTCTAATTGACGGCTCAGATTGCTCACGAAAATGGACAATTTTGGAAGAGGAGATCCGAAGGCAATTCGGAGGCCACGTGACACGATTCGAAGGCAATTCCGAGGCCCACGTGACACGATTCGAAGGCAATTCGGAGGGCACATGACGCGGATTCAAAGGATTCTAAATGATCTAGAAGGATCTAAAAGGGAGAACAAAAAATAATAATTGATAACAATAATAATAATAATAATAATAAAAGTAATACAGTAATGTCTCCCTAATTGTCTCCCTAATTGTCGCCCAAATTGTGCACTAAAATAGACAATTTTGGAAGAGAAGATACGATCGTCCGTGCCTTGTTGCTCGTTTTTTACGGTTATCGATTGTCACATGACAGAAATTTTGCATATCATATTCGATATCTATAACAAGAGGACGTTGGAGCACGTTGACCCATATTAGTAAAATAGCGCGTGGTTTCACGTATAATGGAAACGGCTCTGTCGAATTTCGCCAATATTAAATCTCCGGGGTACTTGTTGATACACCTAATATAATTAATTAATTACTCATCAACGATAATGAATATTATAAAGCAATTAATTACGTAGTAATTTAGTCGACTGAAGTTTCTCAAAACCCGTTGCCGATTATATAATTAATATTGCTCGGATCGTTCGTTCAAAAATTAGCGATCAAGCAAAACATTATATCTTTACTGTCACGCATTATTTATCTCTGTTTGTGCACCCGTGTATATGTGCTCGTCCAAAATGTGATATACATGTATATAGTATATACATATACTACAAACTAGACTCGGGCAGT